GCAAAGATAAGCCAGACTTGGAGAAAAATCATATTTCTCATAGAGGATGCCTGGCAAGCACAAGGGCCTGAGTTCAATCCCCAGTTCTGCCCCCTGCAAAAAAAACTCATAAAGGACTTATGTATACAGAACATACAAAAACCTTTTTAAAAACAATTTTTAAAAAACAAAAAATGGGACAAATGGCTTGAACAGATACTTCAGCAAAGAGGTTATATGGATAGCAAGCATATGAAAACATATTTAATATCATTAGTCACTAGGTTTATCAAATTAAACCATGTGATACCACTAAACACCGATTAGAATGGCTAAAATAAAAATGACTGACCATAGCAAGGGCTGACAAGGATGTGGAGCAAGAAGAACTCTCATACACCGCTGGCGGAAATGTAAAATGGTACAACTTTGGAAAACAGTTTGCCAGTTTCTCAAAACATTAAATGTATACCTACTATATGACACAGATATTCTATTCCCAGAATGACAGGAAGAGACAGGAAGTACATGTCCATAGAGGCTTGCATATAAATGTTCATAACACATTCCATTGTTTATAGTCCAAAACTAGAAACAACCTATAATGTTAACTAACACATAATTAAATTGCAGTGAATCTGTATAATGGAATACTACTGGGCAACAACAAAAAAACAAGCCATTCATTCATTCAACAACATAGATGACTCTTTGATTTTTTTTGGCAGGTACCAGAAATCAAACTTAGGATTTCAAGCTTGCAAAGCAGGCATTGCACTACTGAGCTAAATCCCCATCTCCTCTTTAATTATTCTGAGTTTAAGAAGCTACACAAGGGGGCTGGTGAGATGGCTCAGTGGTCTAAAGCACCTACTCAGAACAAGCTTAGCAAAGCACAAGGACCGTGGTTCGATCCCCCAGCACCACATGCCAGCCAGCCCCGTCCCCTGGTGGGCTGAGCTGGCCACACACACACACACACACACACACACACACACACACACATAAATAAAATAAAAAATTAAAAAAAAAAGAAGCTACACATGAAAAGTACACTATAATTATTCCATTTATATATAATTCTAAGAAATAGAAATTGATCTATATTGACAGAAATCAGCTCAGCATTTGGGGGGAGGGAATGTGTGGGAACACAAACTGGTGTTAAAGGTACAGACTGAGGGATACTTGGGAATTTTTAGGGGTGATAGAAATACATTTATTTGGGGCCAGGGAGATAGTTCAGTAGAATAAGTGCTGGCCTGGCAAGCACAAGGGCCTGTGTTAAATCCCCAATTCCACCAAAAAAAAAAAAAAAAAAAACACATTTATTGATTGACTGATTGATTGATTGATTGATTGAGGAACTGGGGATTGAACTCAGGCCCTTGCACTTGCCAGGGAAGCGCTTGTTCCATCTCCCTGGCCCAAGACATACATTTTTTTTTTTTTATGTGCAGGGTCTCACTAAATACCCCAAACTCACAGTGATCCTCCTGATTTCTGCCTCCCTAGTCCTAGTATTACAGGCAGGTGCCACCATGCCTGAACTCCATCATATCCAGGGTTTGGTCCCTGGCTCTGTGCGCCCAAGGGTGGGGCTGGCACAGCACACAGAGCCAGGGACCAAACCCTAGCCCCTGTGCTTACCTAAGCAAGCACTTAGTTCACTGAGCTATACCACCCGCCCTCACATATATACATGTTGATGCATTAAATGATACATTGAATGTGCAGGTTACTATAAGAAAAGGTGTAAGGAAAAATGTCACCACATTAAAAAAAAAAACACAAAAAACAAAACACAACTCTTCCAGAAAACTAAAGATTAGCTGAAGTGAGAAAAAGCTGCTTTAATTTTCTTACTGGAAATAGCTATTGGAATGTTTAAGTATATACCTTTCAGGAACTTCTATGCAGTCTCAGGTTTTTTTCAAAAACAAGATACAATGTCCTTGGTTTTAAATAACTCTGTCATCATGTCACAATAAACATATCTGAAATGTCTTTATACCTAGGATAATACAATATTCCCACATACAGACATATCAAAGTTTACCAACTCATTTTCACTGATGGATATTTAGCTTCCAAGTTTTCATCTTTTTTTTTTTCTGTATTTTAGGGAAGGGTCTACAGGATGTTCAGGGTTTCACTACTAGGTGGACTCACAGTGATACTCCTGTTTATGGTTTCCCAAGAGCTGGGATTACAGGCATGCGCCACCACACCCAGTCTCAATTGCTATCTCAGCTTGCCCCGGGGGCGGGGCCATGACAGCAGGCCCAGGGATTGAATCCCTGGCCCCTGCACCTGTTTGCAGACTCTTCTGCTGAGCTATTTGGCCAGCCCTTTTCATCATTTTAATAAACTGTGCAGGGCTGGCAAGATAGCTTAGCGAACTAAGTGCCTGCCTAGGCAAGCACAGGGACTGGGGTTCAATCCCCAGCACCACATGCCGCACCAAGACCATCCCTGGGCACACTGAGCCATTCGTAAGTCTGGGTATCATGACACACATCTGTCATCTCAGTGCTAGGAAGGCTGAAAACAGGAGGATCACTACGAGTCTGAATTGCATAGTGACACTGTACCAAATACATTAAAAATAAAGTGTGCATATCTTCAGTGATTCTTTTTTTTTCTTTGTATTTTAGGGGAGGGTCTACAGGGTGTTCAGGGTCTCACTACTAGATCAGACTCATAGTGATCCGCCTGTTTACAGCCTCCCAAGAGCTGGGATTACAGGTGCGCAGCACCACGCCCAGTCTTAGTGATTCTTTTCGAATAAATTCTTTGAAGCATTCTATTGCATTAAATATATTTTCTTGGGGCTGGTGAGATGGCTCAGTGGTCTAAAGCACCTACTTGGAGCAAGCTTAGCAAAGCACAGGGACCACAGTTCAATCCCCCTGCACCACATGCCAGCCAGCCCTGCCCCCTGGTGGACTCAGCTGGCCACACACACACACACACACACACACACACACAAATAAAATTTTTTAAAAATTTAAATAAATAAATAATTTTCTTAGTCCAAAAAAGACTATTGTTTTTGTTTTGTTTTGTCATTCCCCACACCTGGAGTAAACCAAGGGCCTCTGTACTGAACTACATCTCCAAACCTTTCTTTAAATTTTGAGACAGGCTCTAAATTGCCTGGGATAACTTTGATCCTCCTAGCTCACCCTATCAAGTAGCTGGGATTATAGGTGCCGGCCCAGTTTCAAAAGGGCATTGTGGAAAAGTTCTGTGATTGGTTTTTATAGTTTTAGGCCTCCATTTTGCCCTTAAATATCTTTCCTAGCTTAAAGGGTACAGATATGGAAGATTAAACTTTATTCTAGCTTCAAACCATTTCCCAACTCTGTTCTATTTATAGTGCATTATGAATTAACAATTATCAGAAGTTATTTATATCTGAGGGCTAGTCTTGTATAAAAAGTATGACACAATTTCCAAGTCACACTACCTACCTTCATCTAGCTCAGATGCACCAATGAAAGATATCAGTACTTTTAATTCAAAAGACATAGAATAACACAGTCTACTTGCTACTGCTACCTAGTGAAACTGACTTTACCTTGCTAGTTAGGAAAAATCCACCTGGTTAATCATTTTCTTGATGACATTTTCCCCCAATGCAAAACCTGTCACAGCTAAGAATAAAAACCAGCAGTCTTGTTATCAAAACTATTGCTCCCCAGATATGAGTAACTCTGCTCACCTACTATCCTGCGCACCAGGGAAGGTCGATCTGTATCCAACTCTTTCTTTAGACTTTCCACTGGCGAACTCCTTCCTGAGGCAGGGTAGAGAGACGCGTGCCATTTCTCAGGGTCCCAGACACCATCACTATAGGTCAAATGGTACCAACAGTTAGCATTTGCAGTCATAAGCCACATAGTTTAAAGTTTAAACTGTTTTAAAAGTTAATGGAGCATCTTGTACAGCAATTAACTACTGGGAAGAATGTATGCAATGTGTTGATTATTGAAACTGTCCTACCAATTTGATTTGAAACTGTCTCATTGCTATTTATCAATAAAATTATGGGGAAAAAAAAGAAAAAAAAGTTAATGGAAACATCTTTCTAATATAAAACTTCTCAGTTGCCTTCAGAATGGTTGTCTTTTAAGAGGAAAACAAAAATAATTCAATAATATTTTGTTGCAGGTCAATTATCACCAATAGGCATTTGAAAATGGTCAATACAAAAATGAAATACTCAGACTACAATCCTTGGCATACACATAAATTATAATAACCATGCTTGTTCTATACAAAGTCCATAAATATTGATTACTCAGTTTACTAAAGACTAATAAAGTTTTAAGCCTTTTACCAAAAGCACTTCCTGCAATTATCAGTAGGCACAATGT